CTTACTCCGACTGCATCATCTATGATATGGACGCCTGTAGTGTGATGACAAGTGGGATTGTTGAAGAATTATGGACTCGTTTTCCATATGCTCGCATTCATCGGAGCAAACTACCCTACAAAAATCGTGCAGAGAGAAGAGACCGAGCCCTGCCTGGAGAGATTGTCTATGGTGAACCCCCTCAATTCAACAACCGAATTGGTGATGACCCGCATCTACCTCATCTCATCGGATTAATAACTCATCACGCCGGAGGGAAATCATCTAAACCCCTGAACATGACGATGAAGGAAATCGAGTCGATATATGCTGTCGACCCGCACTACTACAGAGGCTTACAGTTGGATACAGAAGAAATGCGTCGCTATTGGTTTACAAAATCTCTGCGTAAGGCCTTTGCAATCATCTTAACAAGAGAAGAAGAATATAAAATTAACCGCATAATTTTCCCTTTTGGACTTGGGATGGGCTGTGGTCAGTACTGGAAGAGCTACAATCAAGAAGTGTGGAGGCAGAAATATCTACCCATAATGATGAAGTTGGAGCGGTATTATCATCGTCGCGGGTTGAAATTTGTGATGGTTGACTCTGCAAGCAATGCAATCCCTATAGCTTTGCCTACACATGGTGTGCTTACACATAAGTTAAGTGAAGGAGTTGCCTCTGCCTATCATCGGATGAAGAACAACAACTTGAACGCAGCTGAAGCTGGAGGTGAAACTACAAAACCTCATTGCAAAGCCGTGCCTATAATAGATCTCACGGAAGACATCGAAGTGATCGATTTAACAGTTGACTAGAAATATATATATATAATATATATATATAAACTATTGACTTTATTTATTTATTTACTATTGTTACCATTTTCCATGCTTGCAATTAAAAATAATAAAAAAAAATAATATTATACTCTGTGTTTATCTTCCCGCTTTAACAAACAGTTGAGTGTGTTTATAGATGTGATAGAGGAATGAAAAGAGTAACTGATAACTCTATACTGTATATAATTCTTACACCCGCAAACTTGCGTTTAATAACTGTCAAGATGTGTTCAAGGTACATGCTCCATAAACTATCCAGTCTTAAAGACTGCAAAGTAGAAGGTGATTATCTGGCAATGGATGAGATCCATCCTGGTGACTGTATAGTGTATGATATTCCTTCAATTCACACCCATTCAGGAGGAATGTCTTGCGAGATCTGGGAAATGTATCCTTATACACGACTACAGCGAGCGATCCAACCATTAACTATGTGGTGGTGGCTGATCGCGTTAAAGTGGGAGGAGCTGTCTTTTCTCCTTCCCCCTCACCAGAAAGTTTACCACATGTTATAGCTATTGTGACCAGATATAGCGCAGGACCACCAATAGAAAATAATGCTGTTAACCAAAAAATTCTATTAGAGCAGTGTGGGGAGGATAGAGATTGTATAATGGAGGGACTCCGCAATGATACTAAGATCAAGAGACGATGGAGCTTTAAACTATGCATTAATCAAATTTTAAGCATGACTAAGCGTCATAATACAATCAAGCGCGTTAAAATTCCTTATGGTTTGGGAATGATTGACAGTGATGACTTGAATCCGGGTGAAAAGCTTGAATGGGAGGTTTACTACTACACAGCTCTGGCTCACTTAGCCATGGTGTTAAAAAAACATGGAAAACAGCTCATAATAGTTGAAAAAAAAAAAAAAAAAAACTTTGAAACTCCACTGATAACTGCTTTAAGCTGTGTGTTATGTCTGTCTGTCTGTCTGTCTGTCTGTCTGTCTGTCTGTCTGTCTGTCTGTCTGTCTGTCTGTCTGTCTGACAGTTAATATGTTTTGTTTTTACCAAGATAAATATTATGTGTCTACCAGTCATTGAATAAAACGTGTTAAGAGAAAGATTAACTTTTTTTCACCTATGTCCGTCTGTCTGTCTGTCTGTCTGTCTGACAGTTAATATGTTTTGTTTTTTACCAAGATAAATATTATGTGTCTACCAGTCATTGAATAAAACGTGTTAAGAGAAAGATTAACTTTTTTTCACCTATGTCCGTCTGTCTGTCTGTCTGTCTGTCTGACAGTTAATATGTTTTGTTTTTACCAAGATAAATATTATGTGTCTACCAGTCATTGAATAAAACGTGTTAAGAGAAAGATTAACTTTTTTTCACCTATGTCCGTCTGTCTGTCTGTCTGTCTGTCTGACAGTTAATATGTTTTGTTTTTACCAAGATAAATATTATGTGTCTACCAGTCATTGAATAAAACGTGTTAAGAGAAAGATTAACTTTCACCTATTATGTTAACATGAGTCTCTGTTTTTCCTGTTGGATCGAATGATTACTAATGGTTGATGTTGCGTGTAAACTCACGCTATGGAAGGTGTTTACTCTGATAAACAGTTAGGCTGGAGAGGGGTTTGAACGGATATAATTATGTTCGATGATCTAAGACTGAGGAAATGGAGCTGGGTAATGTCCAGATTAATTTTGCTACGTTAGAAATAAAGCGATCTTAAATCTCAAGGTGAATTAGTTGGAAAATAAAGAACTTGTACAAAAAAAAAAAAAAAAACTAAGCTGAGGGGGGCAAGAGTTGAAACTTGATAACTGAACCGGTTTTTATTTACTATGACTGAAAATGTAGTTGGTGTTCAAATCTCAGGAGAATTGGACTGGTAGTAATAAATTTATAGGAGAGGACAGGAGCTAGAGTTTTATAATTGTTTACATCATATTTACTATGTAATACAGAGGGTAGAAATTACAGTGAAATTGCTGGGTTATTTACAAATATACGAGAGAGCTAGAGCTCAGTAACTGACTTGATATTATTATTTACTAACTTTGAAGTATGAATGCTTTAAATTTCGGAAAAATTGATCTATTACTAACGATCTTGTACAAATGAACTAAGCCGGGGACAAGAGCTGGAGATTGCTTTGTTTATATAAGTAAAACTGAAATAGATTTAATAAAAGGAACTATGAATGAATGAACAATACGAAGGAGAGAGAGGGAGAGAGAGATAGAGCGAGAGAGAGAGACAGGGAGACAGAGAGACAGAGAGACAGAGAGAGAGAGAGAGAGAGAGAGAGAGAGAGAGAGAGAGAGACAGAGAGAGAGAGAGAGAGAGAGAGAGAGAGAGAGAGAGAGAGAGAGAGAGAGAGAGAGAGAGAGAGAGAGAGAGAGAGAGAGAGAGACAGGGACAGAGACAGAGACAGACAGAGAGACAGATCGTTACTCTTAAAATGATATTTGGGCAAAGAACGAATGAAGTTGGTATATTCTCCACGTTACATTAATGATATTGGGTAAAGAACGAAGTTAGCATATTGGTCGTGTTACCTTACAAGGATGTAAGGGTGAGAGTGAAGGCGGGCTTGAAAATTGACATGGTGATCATCCTCTGATGCGTTGTCAGTCTAAGTGAAATGGAGAAAGATATGTGAACAGCGGCAGCAGGAGAAAGGAAAATGATGTTACTTTCCCCAACTATTAAATGATCTGGAGAGAGAGAGAGAGAGAGACAGAGACAGAGATAGAGACAGAGCGGGAGATAGAGAGAGAGAGACATGGAGACAGAGAGACTGAGACAGATAGAGAGAGAGAGAGAGACAGGGAGACAGAGACAGATAGAGAGAGAGAGAGAGAGAGAGTCGGAGACCCTGGCGAAACGCAATGGTAATGGGTGTCCCAAGACTTCCGGTGTCGTAGGAGAAATACCCAGACTAGTTGGAAAGATGACCAGTCAGGCTCCAACCTGCGACCAGTACGCTTACCCCGTCGCGACATTGAAAAACGCTTTAGGTAATGGTACACTCCCCTCCTGCAGGAGACTTTGCCCTCATCCTCACACACACACACACACACTTAGCTCTTCCTGTAGGGGACGTTAATGGTTTGTCTAACCACATAATGGCCCGCTGCAGTCTCACAACGAGAGTGACTTCTCTCTTTCTTGACCCGAACACGGAAAAAGCAGTCAGGCTCCAACCTGCGACCAGTACGCTTACCCCGTCGCGACATTGAAAAACGCTTTAGGTAATGGTACACTCCCCTCCTGCAGGAGACTTTGCCCTCATCCTCACACACACTTAGCTCTTCCTGTAGGGGACGTTAATGGTTTGTCTAACCACATAATGGCCCGCTGCAGTCTCACAACGAGAGTGACTTCCCTCTTTCTTGACCCGAACACACAGAAAAAGCCAGGTGCAGCCCCGTGTCTTTTCCATGCATTTCTTACAAACATCACTTAAGACCTTCCTGTAGGGGAGTCAATGGGTTTGTCTAACCACATAATGGCCCAGAGCACTCTCTCCCGACGAAGGGGAAACTCCATCCAGCTCCCATCCCAAAACAACATAACAGGCCGTGCTGCCTTCTCTCATCTACACACTAACTCATGATCAACTCTTTTACTCCTTCCTCCATCTTCCTTCTATTTTCTTACTCCATCACTTACTCTACCACTTACTCTCATCTTTCCTGAGCACTTACCTTAACCCCCGAGGACTGGAGCGACGCGCTCCAATTACCTCCGACACGCGCCATAACTTCCGGGAAATTCCCATAACCCGCGAGGACTAGAGGGACGCGCGCCACCTGTCAGCTGCCCAACATGACCTCCCCTCTTTCCTGTCCACATACCCAAACACAACACGCCAAAACTTCCGGGAAATTCCCCCAAAAGCCTATGTGACTAGACACCCGCGCGCCACCTGTCAGGTGAGAGCGTCCGAAACGCGCCAAACTTCCGGGAAAATCCCCCAAAACCCTGTGTGACTACGACGACGCGCGCGGCACCTGTCGGGTGGCACTCAAGAGTGCCACCTGGGGCAGCTGGTGCGCGTCGTCGTAGTCACATATTTCCCTACTGTGTTCCTCACATGTGACCCAAAGAATGAACGAAGAGCGGCTGCCAGTGTTGTTGTGGTCGATGGCTGAGGTCACCTCCTGGGGTCTTGCCGCCTGCAGGAGCCACCTGTCTCGCCACCTGCTGCAGGAATGGCTCTCCTACCTCCTGGGAGACAGTCAGCGAGGGTGGCTCTCCTAGCTCCTAGGAGACAGCCAGCGAGGGTGGCTCTCCTCCCCCAGGGCAGAGAAGACTCAGCAGGGGCTGATGACTTCCCTCCTGGAGACACTTTGCCCCGCCAAGTTGGCCGTGAGGAGGCTGACAGAAGACCCGACGGGATGAGTGACACAGGTGCCGCTGCTGGGCTCTCTGGTCATCCTCTACAGCCGCCTCCGCCAGGTGTGGCTCCTCCTGAAGTTGGGCGGCCGCCGCCCTTACATTCCAGCCGTGTCTGCGGTCCTCCTGGGAGGGCTGGGGGCAGCCTGGGGTCTCGCGGGCCCCGCCAGCACCTGGCTGAGCCCTACAGTGAGGGCCACCGAAAACCAGCTTAGTAGAGAGGGCTCTCAGGATCAACCCGGGGCTCCACAACCCGGGGCTCCACAACCCGGGGCTCCACAACCCGGGGCTCCACAACCCGGGGCTCCACAACCCGGGGCTCCACAACCCGGGGCTCCACAACCCGGAGTTCCACAATCCGGGGCTCCACTACCCGGGGCTCCACAACCCGGGGCTCCACAACCCGGGGCTCCACAACCCGGAACTCCACAACCCGGGGCTCCACAACCCGGGCCTTTACAACCCGGGGCTCCACAACCCGGGCCTTTACAACCCGGGGCTTCACAACGGCTTCAGTCCCATTATGTCACCTAAATCGGTAATGCTGGCGAGGTGAACCGCGCGAGGGACCTTGACAGTGATGGAGGGGTGAGCTCGGCCAGTGACCTTGACAGTGATGGAGGGGTGAGCTCGGCCAGTGACCTTGACAGTGATGGAGGGGTGAGCTCGGCCAGTGACCTTGACAGTGATGGAGGGGTGAGCTCGGCCAGTGACCTTGACAGTGATGGAGGGGTGAGCTCGGCCAGTAACCTTGACAGTGATGGAGGGGTGAGCTCGGCCAGTAACCTTGACAGTGATGGAGGGGTGAGCTCGGCCAGTGACCTTGACAGTGATGGAGGGGTGAGCTCGGCCAGTGACCTTGACAGTGATGGAGGGGTGAGCTCGGCCAGTAACCTTGACAGTGATGGAGGGGTGAGCTCGGCCAGTAACCTTGACAGTGATGGAGGGGTGAGCTCGGCCAGTAACCTTGACAGTGATGGAGGGGTGAGCTCGGCCAGTAACCTTGACAGTGATGGAGGGGTGAGCTCGGCCAGTAACCTTGACAGTGATGGAGGGGTGAGCTCGGCCAGTAACCTTGACAGTGATGGAGAGGTGAGCTCGGCCAGTAACCTTGACAGTGATGGAGGGGTGAGCTCGGCCAGTAACCTTGACAGTGATGGAGAGGTGAGCTCGGCCAGTGACCTTGACAGTGATGGAGAGGTGAGCTCGGCCAGTGACCTTGACAGTGATGGAGGGGTGAGCTCGGCCAGTAACCTTGACAGTGATGGAGGGGTGAGCTCGGCCAGTAACCTTGACAGTGATGGAGGGGTGAGCTCGGCCAGTAACCTTGACAGTGATGGAGAGGTGAGCTCGGCCAGTGACCTTGACAGTGATGGAGAGGTGAGCTCGGCCAGTGACCTTGACAGTGATGGAGAGGTGAGCTCAGCCAGTGACCTTGACAGTGATGGAGAGGTGAGCTCGGCCAGTAACCTTGACAGTGATGGAGAGGTGAGCTCGGCCAGTGACCTTGACAGTGATGGAGAGGTGAGCTCGGCCAGTAACCTTGACAGTGATGGAGGGGTGAGCTCGGCCAGTGACCTTGACAGTGATGGAGAGGTGAGCTCGGCCAGTGACCTTGACAGTGATGGAGGGGTGAGCTCGGCCAGTAACCTTGACAGTGATGGAGAGGTGAGCTCGGCCAGTGACCTTGACAGTGATGGAGAGGTGAGCTCGGCCAGTGACCTTGACAGTGATGGAGAGGTGAGCTCGGCCAGTGACCTTGACAGTGATGGAGAGGTGAGCTCGGCCAGTAACCTTGACAGTGATGGAGAGGTGAGCTCGGCCAGTGACCTTGACAGTGATGGAGAGGTGAGCTCGGCCAGTGACCTTGACAGTGATGGAGGGGTGAGCTCAGCCAGTGACCTTGACAGTGATGGAGAGGTGAGCTCAGCCAGTAACCTTGACAGTGATGGAGGGGTGAGCTCGGCCAGTAACCTTGACAGTGATGGAGAGGTCGACCACCGAGCCTGACACTGTCGGTGAGGTGACATCGACCACCGAGCCTGACACTGTCGGTGAGGTGACATCGACCACCGAGCCTGACACTGTCGGTGAGGTAACATCGACCACCGAGCCTGACACTGTCGGTGAGGTGACATCGACCACCGAGCCTGACACTGTTGGTGAGGTGACATCGACCACCGAGCCTGACACTGTCGGTGAGGTGACATCGACCACCGAGCCTGACACTGTCGGTGAGGTGACATCGACCACCGAGCCTGACACTGTTGGTGAGGTGACATCGACCACCGAGCCTGACACTGTCGGTGAGGTGACATCGACCACCGAGCCTGACACTGTTGGTGAAGTGACATCGACCACCGAGCCTGACACTGTTGGTGAGGTGACATCGACCACCGAGCCTGACACTGTTGGTGAAGTGACATCGACCACCGAGCCTGACACTGTTGGTGAGGTGACATCGACCACCGAGCCTGACACTGTTGGTGAGGTGACATCGACCACTTGACCCGGCAGGGTGGGAGAGATACACCCAACAATTGAACATTCTGTGACCGTACAATTAGACTTCCACCGCCTGTTGCAATTCTGGAAAGGAAAGGAGGAATGTTCCCAATCTGCGTAGGATAATTTGCCCATTCGAGCCAAGCAAGGTGATGGATACATCAACGAGATCCAGATAGCAGTGTCCATCAGAGTATACAAGCATGAGTGAGGGAGAGTTCTACACCCGCCATCACTTGGACTGCATTGTAGTCAAAGAAGAGGCTCTATTATGATATCTAATTAGATAAAGTGATACCAGTATTTGGGTGATAATTATTATAATTATATTGTTATTATAACAATTATAATAATAATAATTGTTGTATTTAATATTTTATCACTCTTCCTTCGGCTCTCGGGTCCTTTAATCCGGTTCATCCAGTAGCTGTCGAGATCCAGCATTGGCTGTTTCTTGTTCACAGTAAATTTAAGTCGGTTGAGTTTTGTTGGGTTCCCAGCCATATTGGTGTCTTTAAATGAGCGTGCAGATGCTGCCGCCAAGGAAGCTATTCGCTCTTGTCCCATCTCTCATAAAAGTGTTCCATATTCAGACTTTTACCCGGTTATCCATTCCTCCGTCCTTACCTGTTGGCAGGCTTCTTGGTCGTCTGTTACTGGTAACAAACTACGTACTCTTAAATGTTGTGTTTCCTCGTGGCCGTCCTCGTACCACTGTAACCGGCGATGGGAAACAGCTCTGGCGAGGTTGTGTAATGGCCATAATCGCTTAACCCATGGTCACTTGATGGAGCGCCGCCCTGCTCCTTATTGTCCTAGTTGCATTGTCCCTCTTACGGTCGTGCATATCCTTCTTGAATGTCCTGACTTCCAGGACGAGCGTGTGTCTTGCTTTCCGACCGCCCCTCGCGGTCGCCTGTCCCTCAATAGAATTCTTGGTGACTTGGATACTTTTGATATCATTCGCCTTATGCGTTTTTGTTCTGGTATTGGCATCCTTAGTGATATTTAGCGCCCTCTGATTATTCTGCGCCTTTGATGGTGCTACATAGCCTTCCCTGTTTGGTGCCTTCTTTTGATAATTACTTACTTACTTACTTACTTACGTGCATTTCAGCCTCAAGCTGAGTTTTATATACTTTAGAGCTGATTGTTCAATAGTGTTGTGACGATATTACAATCCCCACTCAGTGAGGGAGTAGTAAGGGGTAACCCAAGAGTTGAGCAGCCACTTGATATGGACGGTTGGTGAAGCCAGTATATGGTATTGGATTGCTACCAGATTGTAGTAGCTGAGAGTGTTGTATGTTAATATTTTCATTTCTTTTTATGTAGTGTACTGTATATGTTCTTTTGTTTATTAAATGTGTATAGTTAACTGGTTTTTTACTTTTTTCTTCTGAGGCTTCCCAGAAAGCAGAAGAGAGAGAAAGAGAGAGAGAGAAAGAAACGGTTACAGCTGCGGACATGGAGACAGAATTCTAATTCAGAAAAGGGGGGAATTAGGAGATCATTCCGAACAAAGAGAGAGTGGGGAGTCACGGCGGCTCAAGTAGGGTGTGTACACAGTACAACGAGGCCAGTGTTGGAGCCGCACCCCTAGATATGTGATGCTGAACCCCTCTCCAAGATAAAGAGAAGTACACGGTGATCTCCTGAGAAAATTTCAAGCACTTCAGAGTTCATTGCTGGTCAACCGACGGTAGCGGGAGTGTGGCTGTCGAGGTCAGATGTCTGTTACTGCAGAGAGTGGTTGGGGGACGTTGTCCACCTGTACGCAAGCAACAGTCTGGTGCAGCAACCAGAGCTCTCTTTGGAGGCATAAGTTCCATAAGCCCCAACTCGTTCAGGTCAGAACAGATATTGGGGGCCTGTCCGGGAGATTGTATTGACACACCCACAGTTCGAGTCCAGGAAGTTGGACTGATACACCTATTGCGGCAGCTGTGTGGGCTACCTATTGCTAACCTGTGTGACCGCAGATACATTCTCTCTTTCTCTCGGGAAGACTCACAGGACAAGATGGAGAAGGTGCAAGCGTTTTTAGAGTCAGAAAAGCCTGAAGATTTGGATGGTTGCACCAAGGAGCAGTTGAAGCAGATGCGGAGAAATGTGGCATCAAGGTGAAGTCATCTAAAGTGGCTGTCATGAAGGATGCGATCCTTAGACAATTGAGAGCTAAGAGTGAAGTGGCAGAACAAGGAGCCCAGAAAAGAGCCAGAAGTGGAAAGGAGGATGATGGACAAGATGAAGTGAGATCGCAAGGATCAAGTAGGAATAGTAGGAGTAGGCACAGTAGCAGAAGTAGCCGGAATAGGAGCTTAGAACGGTTACAGCTAGAGCTCCAGATGCAACGAGAGCGTGAGGAGAGACTGTTCCAACTGGAAAAGTTGAAGTTAGAACTGCAGATGAAAAATGAAGCAGAGAAAACCAAACTAGAGGTAAAAAAAGAGAAAACCCAAGTTGAAAGAGTAAAAGAGAAAACAAAGCCAGAGGAGATAGAAGAAAATAGAACCTTGGCAGAGCAAAGGATTGAACATGGGTTGCCAGAAAGCACCATGCATGTATCGCACCCACCAGATAATAAAGTCAGAGAAAAAGACATTCCCCTATTTGTGCCTGATGAAGCAGAGAGATTCTTCGAGCATTTCGAGGAGGCAGCCATCATCAAAGAGTGGCCACAGGATGAATGGACCAAATTGGTTCAATTAAGGTTGACGGGTGCCGCCAGAAAGGCATATACCCAGCTGTCACTGGAGTAATGCAGAGATTATGGTACAGTGAAGAACGGCATGTTAAGCTCATTTCAGTTGACTCCTGAAACTTATAGAAAGCGCTTCAGAGAGATGATTAAGGTGCCAGCAAGTGCGTTTGCTGAGACGACAAAGGATCTGGAATGGTGCTTCCAGAGATGGATAGAGGCTGCCGGAGTTGGATCTTATGCTGACCTAAAGCAGTTGATGATCATGGAGAAATTTCTAGAAATGATGCACCCCAAGACGAAGTTCAAGATCCATAAGGCAGGAATGAAGAATGTAATGGATGCCACAGATAGGACAGACATGATTATAGAGGTGTTTAGGAGCTTAAGGGAAAGCGGACTGAAAAGTGAGGCGAGAGGAAATTATGGTAGACCCAGGGGAGCCTGTGATGAGAATTTTTTTTATAGATGTGCAAATATACGTAAGTACCCTAAAACTCAGAAAAGTAAGTCCTACACTTCATCTGAAAGTGAGGATGAAGGGATTGAACGAGAAACTATTCGTGTACCAAGAAGTCAAGAGTCCAGTCAGACCCCACAGAGTACAGGTAGTGTGGCTGGTCCGAGAGACTCCTCAATATGAGTGGACAGAGTCAGAGCCACTCGGGAATGTATAGAAAAGACTTTCCCAAATGAGATGTTACAATTGTAACAGATTTTATGACATGAAGAAAGATTGTCGACAGGGCAAGAGAGTTGTGACCCTGACAATGTGTGACCCCCGAAACAAATGTATTAATGTATTACTGGAAAACCACAGAAAGTAAACATAGTGAACGAGCAGTATAGGCCGTTCATAAGTAAAGGTTGGGTCAGCATAGAAGGCTAACCTTAGGTACAAGTTGTTATCCTAAGGGATACTGTTGGTAATCAGAGTTTGATTATGAGAAGCCTGAGTGGGAATGATCGACTGTTAGCAGCCAGTAGGAAGCTAAAGGTGTATGGATTGTTGTCTGAGAGTGACATGCCCATTTGTACTGTCAAGATAAATTCGGATTATTTGTCGGCGAAGGTGATGTTGGGAGTATGCCCTGACATACCTGTTCCAGGTGTCCAGGTGATTCTGGGAAATGACTTGTACGGTTATAGGGTGTTGCCGAAGTTCATGTCGGAAGCTGTGCCGGAAGTGTGCCAGAAGGGCCACGGCACTAATGGGACGCCTGATGGAAGGGACCTGACTTGCATCCTAGAGGAGCCAGAGAACAGCCAAGTCATTTAGTAACCTGCCTCGGTACTAATGCGGGTAGAGGTGGCCGACGAGGAAGACACTGGTGAGGATGTGACAGTGTCGACTCCACCGATAGAAGATATTGACGTGGAGATAGTTTGGCTGTTTGGGGAAGGTCTAGCTCAGGGAAATGGAGGCTCAGTGAGGTCAGAAGTGCGGATGACCCTGTCGGAGAGAACTAATGTGAAGAGAGTGGACCTGAGTAGAGTCCAGCCCACTGAAATTGAGAGTCAGGAAGTAGAGGTAGCTGTGTTGAACAGAGGTGAAGAAGGATGTGGACAGAATGAGGACGAGAGTAAAACGTCAAGTTGTCCACAGGAACAAAAGTGTAGGGATGATGAAGTAGAGTTGTGCGAGATGTCAGAAGCTGACACATTTCACGGGAAGCGTGAAGAAGGGATAGTGGAGACGAGTGATAGACGAGAAGAGGAAATATGAAGAAACAGTATGTGTGGAGAGATGCTTACGAGCACTCTAGAAGAGATAGAGCGACAAGTACGGACGAGTGTTGTTGAG